TAAAAACCAAACACCAAAATAACTTTAAGCTACAACTACAGCACAATATAGCCATAGCTAAGCACAACCATAACACTTCACAGCAATCCTAAATAGGGGTGGGCACTATTTGGTTTTAATCAAATTTTCGAACCTGAAATAACTAAAAAAAATCATCAAATTCGGATTTCAGTTTGGGTGTCATTAATTCAGTTCGTAACTGAAATAATTCGAGTATGATTTTCAGTTTTAAGTTTTGATAACCGAATAATTGAACAGTGCCTCCTGTCAAACTCGAAATAACTGAAATATTAAAAGAGTATAAATAGTCATTTAGGGTTTTTTTTTTTTCACCGACTCATTTTCTGCCTTTCCCTTTTCATTCTTTCACTTTTCCTCTAAAATCCCTTCATTCTCCTGCTTCTCCTCTGAAATCCCTAGCCCTCAAATTCAATTCAACCTTCTTTTCTTACTTGAATTCCATTCTCTATGCTTCGGTGAGTGAAGTTTCTTCTTCTCTTTTTCTTTTTTGATGAAGTCTTTTTGTTCCTTCACTAGTATCCTAATCCTACAGTCTGGGATCTTTGATCCCCTATAGCATGGGTGAAGCTTGGGAGGTGGGATGAGTGGGCTCCCTAGACAACCCCCTCCCTCATCCCTTTTGATAGCTTGCAATTCTTGGCTATTTACGAGGCTCTCAAGTTGACCCTATTGCTACCCAACCTTCAACTACGCTCTGTGCGTCACTAGAGCCATAGGTCTCGTTTGTCCATTGGGTTGCTATAGGGGATCTTGTTTTTTGATGAAGTCCCTCTATTCCTTCACTCGTTAGGTATCTGAATCCTACAGTCCTAGGATCTTAGATCCCTTGTAGCATGAGTAGAGCTTGGGAGGCGAGATGAGTAGGTTCCTTGGACAACCCCTTCCCTCATCCTCTTTTATAGCCTACAATTCTTGGCTATCTATGGGGCTCTCAGGTTGACCCTGCTACTACCCAACCCTTCACTACGCTCTACGCGTCACCAGAGCCAAAGGTGTCGCTTGTGCATTGGGTTGGTGTAGGGGATTTTGTTATCTTCTAAAATCAAGGGCTAGGTTTTCAGTGGGTTTGCTTGCTTTGGTAGATTTAGTGGATTTTTTTGGAATAGGAATAGCTAAGTTTTTCACTGGGTGGCTTTGTGTCTATATGCTTTAAGTAGGGTTTGGTTTTTGTTATTTCTTAAAATCAAAGGTTATGTTTTCACTTTTCAGTTTCCTGGTTTTCACTTTTCTTGGGTGTTCACTTTGCAGGGATGGAGAATAGTGTGAATAATAAGTAGTCAAAGGAGGGGACAAACTCAGGCACAATAGTTGTAGTAGATAATACAACAAAGAACACGACTGATGGAGGCACAAATGCGAAATCAGACCAAGCAAAGAGCAGCGCTGCCACTACTACTGATGCTACTAGACCATCCTTTTCAGTCCAAAGAAAACCCATGAAGCGCAGGGCATGGGTATGAAAATTTTTTGATGAGTTTATTGATGAGAATGGTAAGACTAGGGCTAGGTGTCATTTCTATGGTTGTGATTTGGCTACTAAGTTTAGAACTAGTGGAACTACTCCATTGAAAAACCATTATAATAGCTGCAAAATGAATCCTGTTAATGTTAAGGTTCAACAGACTTTACTTAACTTCCAAAAAGTGTTAGAGTTTGATGATGTAGATGGTAGAGAAGTAACTCAATTGACAACAACATCATGAAAATTTGATGAACAAGCTGTTAGGAAAGCATTAGATGAGATGCTTATTATTGATGAGCTTCCATTTTCCTTTGTTGAACATCTTGGATTTGTAAAGTACTGTCAAGTAGCTTGTCCTTTATTTAATGTCCCATCTCGTAGGACTATCGCAAGAGACATTTTAGGCATTTGCTCTGACATGAAAGAGGATTTGAAAACATATTTTAAGAATGGAAACCAAGGAGTATCTTTAACAACTGATACATGGACATCACTACAAAGGGTTTCTTATATGTGTGTGATTGCTCATTGAATTGATGCTAATTGGAGGTTGCAAAAAAAATTTTTGAGTTTTGTTCTTGTTGATAGTCATAAAGGTGATGCTTTAGGTGGCATGCTTGAGAGATGTCTTAGAGAGTGGGGGATAGATAAAGTGTATTGCGTTACTTTAGACAATGCTTGTATGAATGATGGACTGGTTAGACACTTGAAAGGGTGCTTGCAAAAGTGGGGAACTAGTATTCTTGGAGGGCAAGATTTGCGCATGAGGTGTGTTGCCCACATTATAAATTTGGTTGTTAATGATGGATTCAAAGAGATGCAACCATTTGTTAATGTTGTTAGGGCTGCAGTACGATATGTGAGGCAAAGTCTAATGAGGTAGAAACTGTTCTTTCAATGTGGAAAGTTTGAGAAGATTGAATGTGAAAAGATGTTGTCTCTAGACACTCGAACTAGATGGAATTCCTTGTACTTGATGTTAGAAGTTGTTGAAAAGTATGAGCTTGCATTTGACAGGTTAGTTGTAGTTCTATTCAATTTTTTAGTTTATTTTTAATGTTATTTCATTTTTTACTTCAATATAAATGATATTCCCTTTGCTAACTATAGTCTAAATTTGATAATTTATGTAATTTTTGTGGTAGTTTATTTTTAATGTTATTTCAATTTTTACTTTAATATAAATGATATTTCCTTTGCTTCCTATAGTATCAATTTGATAATTTATGTTATTTTCTTATGTTTTGCCTCCTAGCTTTGCAAAAAGAGATGCTCACTATGAGGATGCTTTAGATCATGCTGTTCTAACTCACGAGGATTGGGAGAATTGCAGAAAATTAGTGGATTTCTTGGGGCACTTCTACTGTATGACCTTTAAGGTGTCAGAAAGTTGGTATGCCACTTCAAACCTTTACTTTCCATAAATTTATTCACTTGATGCATTGTTAAAAGAATGGGAGGAGTTGAGTGATATAGATTTGGCCATGCTTGCAATCAAAATGAGAGATAAGTTTGACAAGTATTGGAAAACTCCAATTGAAATGAATAAGAATATATTTATTGGAGTGGTGTTGGGCCCTAGATACAAATTAGAGTATGTTTAGTTCATGTTGAAGGAAATACATGATAGAGATGGTAAAATTGGATTAGGAAGTAAATTTGGGTAGTTAGTGAAGGATGATACTTATAAGCTATTTGAGGAGTATAAGAAAAGGATATAGGGAGTGGGAATTGGCAGTAGCAGTAGCAAATCCCTTTTCAATTCCAATGTAAATTCTTTTGGTGAGAATTTAGTTTCTAGTGTCACTACCGGTGGTTCAAGTTCTCAACAAGTGTGGAGATGAATCCATCTCAAAGATGGCAAGAGAAAGTGAAGATGAAATACAAGAAGTATAAAAATGATAATGGTGCTGCTAGTGAACACTCTGAATTAGATAAGTACTTGGCAGAAGCTACTAAAGAGGACAACCCAGATCTAAACATTTTAGCTTGGTGGAAGCTCAACTCACCTAGATTTCTCGTTCTTGGTGTAATGGCTAAGGATGTATTAGCTGTGCCAATATCAATTGTGGCGTTGGAGTCTTGTTTTAGCACTAGTGGTCGTGTGCTTGATGCTATTAGAAGCTTTTTAACACCAAGAACAGTTTGGGCTTTAATCTGTGCTCAAGTTTGGGTGAAGCCAAATGGAAATCTTGTATTCGATGAGGAGGATTTAGACAACCTGTTAAACATTGAACAATGCACAATCACTTTTTTTTTTTTTTAACTTGATTTGCTTTTTTTTTTTAAACTTAATTTGTTATTTAATTGAGTAATTAAGTATTTATAATAATGGAACATATTTTGATTTTATTTCATAATAGGTGTTGAGAAGCTTGGTTTGGAGGCAACTTTGTTGGGATGTTAGCATGAATAGGTTTGTTATTTTTAGATTACTTTAATTTCCAATTATATATTCTATTTTATGCTCTAGGATTTGACATTTACCTTTGAATCTTTTTTATAAATAGATTTTTTTTTTGGGACAGCGGAAGGCAGAAGCTACTGAATGTGGATATTCTGATATTGGCTAACTTTATTGTGCAGACTACAGACTGCAAAGTGCTGACTTTTTTTTTAGTTTAAGTGAGATAATGAATTCTTTTTAGTTTAAGTCAAATAATGACTTCTTTTGGAATAATACTTTGCAATATTTAGATATTTGCATGGATAGTTTGGTTGGTGCTTGTGGTTAATTGTTAAGTGGTTTTTTGAATCTTTTGATCATTTATCTTTTGATATCATATAGGCATATAGTAGATTAGTAGTTGTAAATTGTTATATTTTGTTCTAGTAGACTAGCAAACTAGCAGACTAATAACTTTAATTTGTTCTGTTTGTATATTTTTGATTTAGCACTAGTGCCAACCAAGTTAATGAAAAATGAAATTGAATGATCCATCATAGATTGTTTATTAGAAATTTATAGTGTTTGACTATTTGTTATTTGTTATAATCATCTTATATAGTTATTAGTTACTAGTTATTTTGAATTAGTATACTGACTAATGAAATTTATTATTCATTCTTAGGTTTTAAAATAGATATTTATTTTTTTCTTTTTTGTTATTTGTACTTAAATAAAAAAACATAGCCATCTTCCAAGTTATCTGTCAAGGGTAGGCATTTTAATTAAATTTTCATTGTTTTTGATTTTGAAATTAGTGAAAAACTCACAAGTTAAAAAAAAAAACCTAAGAAAAATGAGAATTCAAAGAAAGGGGAAAAGTTCG